GGCGTGATTTATTATTGGATAGTTTCACGTGATCGAAAAATTTTATTAGTATTTTGGTGGCGATCCAGGGGAAGTTAATCAAATTCACAATATCACGTGATAAGTTTTTGTTTTTATTTATTGTGAATTGAGTTCACAATATCATATGCAAAGTTTATTTAACAGATTGAAAAGACAGCTATAGATTTAATGAAATTACTAATTTAGGAGTTTATGGCACAAAATACTAATATAACCAAATTTGGCAAGAATGTATAACAATAACATAAAGATATAAAACGGAAGAGTGGTAGGGCAGCACAATATCAGCCCTTTCAAGAGGCAAATCAATTTCGCACCCTGCCCCACCCTCTCTTAGTAGAATCCTGCTATTTTGTGGCAGTTTAAACATCTCTTTTTACAGCCGGCCTGCATTATGCAGGTGAAAAACCACCAGCTAAGATCATGTGACTACAAAGCTTCTGGCTAATAGCCGGCCTGTATTTATGTGGGTGGGAAACCACCGGCTAATGCCAATTATACATCAAATGCACTGATGTATGCTATATATCTTTGTTAATTATATATCAAACCACTGATGTATACTATATATCTCTTCAACTATACATCAAGTGCACTGATATATGCTATAGCTCTTTAATAAAGTTTGAATATCCAGTGCTGAAATACATCTAATAATTATATCACATGCATGTAATTCTTTTCGATATATAGATTCCTAGGCTCTTTAAACATGTTTAGAAAATCCCAATAATTTCAAGCTACACTATATTGAGTTTAATTTTATATAATTAAATTTGCATGATTAAAAAATTTGCAGTGTACCTGAATCAAGTTCGAAATCAATTTTATGAATATAAAACTTTGTGATCTGTTATTTTTAACTTTTAATTAAATAATATAATATTTTTAAATTAATTAAACTGTATAAATAAAGTAAAATAAAACATTTTTAATATCTTTTGATTATATAATGCTTTTAATTAAATATAATATTTTTTAATTAAATGATATTATTATTTTTTTTTAATTAAAAGTAAACAAGAAAAAAATTTTTTTTGATTGTACAAAGCTTATTCTCAAATATATAAATACTTTGTTTTTCTTTATTTTCTTTAATTATTTCAATTTTATATAAGAATAAAGAAAAGTCATTTGAACAACTTAATTTAACTTTAGTAAACTCACACAGGTTGAATTAATGAGTATCAAGTGTATACCGGGAGAAAAGTTTCCTGATATATACAATACCCATTAGCCTGCCATAGATCTGCCAAATACTTGCTGAATATCAGCAGTGTATTGGCAGTATATTGGTAAGATAATGGGAGGTGGATCAATATTAGCAACATAAGAGCAAAATATTGGGGTTTACCTGATGTCTTACTTTTAGGCACCAGAGTGCTAATAGTAAGATATTAGAATATCCCAATATTGTACTGTTATGCTTACCGAAATCGATCTATCTAATGATATTTTACCAATATGCTGCCAATGTGTTGCTAATATTTAGCAGGTATTTGGCGGATCTTGGTAGACTAACGGGTACTGTATATATTGAGAAACTTTTCTCCTAGTATGTACCCGATATTTATTGATTCAACCTGTGTCAATAATATCTCAAAATAAATTTGGACTCAACCCGATACGTAATCGACTATTAGAAAAAATATTTGTATGAGTCTTAGTCTAAAGATGTGGTTCATTTTAGTTATTATTTAATTGTATAAAGAGTCATAAGTAGAGATGCAGGTGAATTATCTTAATAATTGCTGTAACTAGTTATACATAAGCTTTAGCTAGTTACGGCTTAAGCCATAACATTATTGGGATATCATTGAGATGATTCGCCTGCACTTCTAGTCATAACTCTATAAAAAAAAATTTAAAAATTATGGGTTTGGCCAACCAAATTCATACAAATGCACTATCAAATTTGTATACATGCACTATCAAATTTGTATACATACACTATCAAATTCGTATATATGCACAATCAATTTTGTATTTATCTTGATCAAATTCGTGTCTTGATCAAATTCGTGTCTTGATCAATTTCATGTCTCAATCAATTTCGTTTCTCAATCAAATTCGTGTTTATCTCAATCAAATTCGTGTCTCGATCAAATTCGAATATGTCTCGATCAAATTCGTGCTCAATCAAATTCATATACGTCTCGATCAAATTCGTATACATCTTAATCAAATTAGTATACATCTCAATCAAATTCGTGTCTCGATCAAATTCGTATACGTCTTGATCAAATTCGTGTCTCAATCAAATTCGAGTTTTAATTAAGTTCAATATTATGTGATTATGTAATACGTATAATATCACATAACACTTAAATTTCAATTACATATTTATCATTAGTGAATTTTTGAAGAAAAAAGACGAGTTGTACATCGCTTTTATTCATCAAAATGGTAATTTATTTGGTTAATTTATTTATTTTTTGATTATGATAATTAAAAATTTACTTCTAATTTATTGAGGTACAAAAAAATTGATGATTGCATTAAAAACTCTCAAATTATGATAAAGCTACTAAGTATGAGGATGTGATCGAATCTTGCTGTAGTGATTATAGAGGCTAAGATATGTATAATCTGAAAGTGCTCTTCAATCAGTCGTTTCCAGGCTTCAACAAAAGGCTAAAAATAATTCTTATTCTTGATTTTAGGTATACCAGAGCTTTAGTCTTTGATTTGATTATTAGGCTTCTTAATGATCATCACGTGAATCATGAGATAATAGATTTGCAAAATCGTAACAATAACGTTCAATCAGGGTTTGATCAATTATATATCATAAAAAGGTCTGAATTATTAATCAATGCTTACTCTTTCTTATTCTGGGCAGAAGGCTAATAAAAGTTGATCGGGTATTAGAAGAAACTTAGAGCTGATACTTCTATTTGACTTCGAAGGTCAAGACTCGAATTAGGCTTTACAATTTAACATGGCTTAACAAAGGTAAAGGTAAAAACAATAGGTCTCTTTATTGAAAACGTATATAGAATTAAGAAATTTATTTGTTCAATAGATTGCAGAATGGTAAATATTTTTCTATAATATATATTTTAAGTTGATGGCACTATTAAAGGAAATCTTAATCATTATTCCTATTAAAAAAAAAAAAAAATTTTTTAAAATCAGCATAGGCCAAGACCAAAAAGTTGACCAGAACCATCCCTCTCATATTTCATGTGATTGTACTAATACATCTACTGCCTTATTAGCTAACAAAATTGAGTATATTAAAATATGTTGTACATATATATATTTAAAGGAGATTAAGAATACTACTAACCTTACATCTCAATTTCATTATCATTCAAACAATGATTGCGAGTGCTCAATCCAATTATTACAGTCCTCTGCAGTTATCATGGAAAATGCATCCTCAATTCTTCCTAAGAGAGTTTCATAGTTTTCAAGATGATGTTTCGCTACTAGATTTTTTACTTTGGAGAAAACTTTTTCTGCTGGATTAAGAAACAGGGAGTATGTAGGTAAATACATAATTTCATGTGATGTTCTTGCAACAACGTTTTTAACCTCTGGTGAATGATAGAATCTAACATTATCCATAACTAAATATTTTTTTCTATTATCAGTAAATATTCTCATAAGTTGACCTAAAAATGATCTAAAGATATTGTGATTAATTGCACCTAAACGAGATGAGAATTTAATAATACCACTACTACTTATTGCAACAATTAGTGAAAGATTTTTTCCACAACTATTAACAACTTTTTTGACAGTGGGTTTACCGCGAGGTGCATGCCCTCATGAGTACAATAGATGAAAGTTAAACCCAGCCTCATCTATATATATAGTATCGTTATACAGATCAATGTTTTCACAGAATATTCTTTGTATATATTCCTTTCTGTTTGAGATTGTGGTGACAGTGTTATGGCCTTTGGGAATAGATATCAGTCTCTTCAATGTAAATCCTAGCCTTTTTATATTATGAGCTACTGTGGACATGCCTATCTTTTTTTTTATTCTTTAACAGGTCTTGCCGTGACTTGCCCTTTTAGTTTTTAAGTACATTTAATTTATATACATTTATTTCTAAGACTAACTAAAAGCCCGACTTCACCCGGTTGCCTGTGAAGGTACCTAGGTGCAACCCATCGCACTAGCTTACGGATAAGCCAGAAAAGAA